TAGCAGCCACAATGGTATAGCCGGTAGATTATTTGAATTTTGAGAACGGTTTCGTGGCCCGAGATTGCATCTTGCGGCATTTGCTGTAACGAAGAGACAGAGATCGGGAGCGATGCGCTTCCCTGTGACTGATGAGAGTTGAGATGCAATGATTCTGGAGCAATCGTGAACCAGGCGCTGTGTGAGATTGAGACCCGATGATGGTCGAAAATACAGATACACTGACAGTGACAGAGCGCAGCCAAAGTCAGGCACTGACGGCATTTGCCGGGAGGACACGTGCTAATTTCACATCAGGTGACACGAGCGCGTCCCCCACAAGACAGGATTAAGTTGAAACATGGTCATCTAAGAACCGGACGAAGCTCGACATTCTCAAATTATTGTTAAAAACTCCCGTACTAGTGACTAGCAGTACCTCGAACGAGGTTCATCTCTCTTCTTCCCCCGCACTGGAAAAGACTCTGATGCTTACAAGGGATACCCTGACGGTCGTCTGAGACTCGGACACATGCAGAATGATCGGTCAGAGCCATAAAGAGGATTAGAAGGTGACATTATTGAGGTTATGAAATAACTCTAGGACTAATTATACTGAATCGCCAACACGTTCCCAAACCCACGGAGGAAATTATGCCATTACTAAGTATTCTACCAACTGAATGAAAGAGAGGAATCGTTAGGGCCTGAATTCGAGGAAGACACGCTTTTGACATACCTGTAAGTCTCGGTGTGCAAGAAAAGGTCGGTGCACCCACCACGGGCTCCTCCACCCGCGATGTTGAGTTGGCACGCTGAAACCGCGCTTCGTACGTCGTACAAGAAACCATCAGGACCGCAGGCTATCATACAAAGCGAGGAAAGATCATCAGTAAGCACAAATCAATGGTCGAGAGGAGCCCAGAAACACTAACCAATAATGGCAACTCTGCCACTTTGCTTCTGAGCGCCCTGGATGATACACTCGACATCAGGTCTTCCAGGAACCAACCTTGTCTCCAATCGGTTGATTTCCGTCAAACTGCTGCCCTCACTAGCACCGACAACGCTCGTAGGGGTCCTAGCTCCAGTCTTCTTTTCCGTGGTCGTTCCCGCATGCTCCGTTACGCTGCTGCTTTCACTTACTTCCCCCGAGCCAGACCCCGATGCTGGTTTCTCGGACGCCAGTTTCTTCTCCAAATCTTGTGAGAGGCCGGTTTCGCGGTTTCCATGGGCCGAGTTATTCTTTTGGGATAGCTTGAACTGGTCTTCGGCGTCGGTGATGTGGATTGAGCGGGATAGAATATCGCTATTCCTGTCCGAGAGTGAGTCCTCAATCCAGCTTGCAGCATCTAGTACGTCGGTAAAAAAGGTATGAGTAAACAACCAAAAAGAAGGTATACAATTGATGAAACATACCCCGTTTCTTGACGGAAGCAATAAATTCGATGCTCTTCACGTTTCCAGTCTTTCCAACCAGGTTCGCCAGAATAGGAATAGTGAAGGTCGCGCCTACCCAAAACCAGGCAAAGTCAGTACTAGAACGACAATGTTCACCATGAGGCGGAGCCGCTCACCAGTACCACCGGCCAAAAGATACACATGGTCAAAGTCCGTCAAGGAGCACGGTAACCCCCCGTACGGCCCATCAATAATAACCCTCAGTTTGGATGCCCTCTTCCCTTCCGCCATCCTGGCTAATTTAGAGGTGATCCCTCTCCGTCCTCGGACATTGAAAACAAGCTCCATGACCCCATCTTCCGTAAGACTCGAGACAGTAAACGGATGGTTGCTCATAGCATGAATCCCAGCGTTCAAAACGCGCATGAAGATGTGTTGGCCTGGTTTCCATTTCAACCTGTTGGGTGTTTGGACAGTTACTTTGACAAGGTTGCTGCCGGGAAGCAGTTGGGCTTCAGCGGGAAGTCCAAGACCGGCGTTGTAGAAACCACGGAAAAGGCGGGTGAACCAGGAGATGAAAAAAATCGTCCAGGTTACGGCGAAGTAGTCCCTGAAAGTGGTATAGGCGTGAGTATGGTTACGACCGGAAGGGTGTACAAATCATCGTACCAAGATGTCAAGCGGAAAGAGCAGTGGATGAAGAAGAACAAGATGAATAGAGCCGCGGCACTGGTAGTACAGCCTCCGTCAGAATCCAGAGTTACAGTCATGATGAGAACTGGGTGGGTGGGACTTACACGAAATGTATTCTGCAGAAGCGAACAAGGTATCAGTATCCTACCCAACCGTCAAATTGTACAAAAGCGGGAACGTACTTCTTGAATAACTCATAGTATCGGTTGCGGAAGAAACCCCACGAGAAAAAGATCAAATACGTTTGAGGAACAAGTGCCGCAACACCGGTCCAGTACCAGTTGGACGTCTTCCAGCTCTTTTCCATCGAGTGCATCTGGAGCTGACCCACGATATAGAAGAACGTGTGAACCAGAGTGGGGATATCTTTAGAACAATAAGTAGAGGCCGGTCAGCAAGATGATGTAGGCGACACAGCACTGGAAGAGACCTACACATGATGAATGCGGTCCAGCGATGCAGGACTTGCATTTTCTCGTGAGATACGCCTGTCAACATCGTTATGAGATTGACCTTCATAGCAAAGGCACTGAACAAAATAGAAACGGGAATCCAAGTCAACAAGGGGTGTATTGGGATTCGTCGAGTTGCAACGTACACCATGAACGGCATCATCGCAAGTGCGAGCCATCCAGATCTCGTAGCAATGGGAGCACTCATCCCCATCTTCATACTCGGCCATTCGTAGGGGCGGGGACCGAGCATCATACCTAATCGAAAAGAAGTGAGCTGAGTTATACATAGAATCAATGGTGACGGTATGAAGAGGACTAACCCATGATGAACGCGAAGATCCCAGCAACAGCAATGATAGCAGCGAGCGGGGGCGAGTAATACGTAAGGAATGGAACGCGGAGGCGGTATTGTTTGGTGGTAGTGTATCGGAAAACCGCAGTGATCTTGTCCAAAGTCGAGTTGAATGCTCCTTTCAATCCAGAGCCTGGTCTAGCTGAAGATGTTCTATCATTCTTGCCATGTTAGAGAAAAACGTGCTCGACACAGAGGAGGTAATTACAAGTCTGACCTATTCCTGAGCAAGAAGATCACATGTAACCCCATCGCACAAGCAACCGCCACACAGAAGAAGATGACGGTTGGCTGGGCGTAGTCCCAGTCTGCCTCGTACCACTAGAAATAATTGGGCATTGTCGGCAATCGAACGTGGAGCAAAAAGAAATGAAAAAGAGGAGCAACGCACATAGTACCACTTCGATTGTACCAACTTCTGCTGCTCCTCAGTCCAGCCCGTGAAATTGTAAGAGGCCACTCGGGAGGAGCGCCAGTGTACGGGGTGCTTGAGCCATACCAATCCCATAGTGACGAAGGAGATTCAACGACCGACCGGGAGGGGTTGGGTGAATGGAGACGGGGATGGGGAAGAAATTGAGGCTCGTTCGTCCTGCTATTTGTATGGATCCCAATAGCGGCAGCAGTAATCTCGGTTCGCGAAAAACCAGAATGAACTCTTGAGAGGAACATTGAAAAGCCATCATTGGATGACAGTTGCAAAGACTGGGTGTTGACTCTTGAATCGCAAGCCGCGGTGGAGGGGGGTGGGGGACGGAGAGTGAGCAGCGGAATTGTGATGCACTTGACTTGACTTGCTGTCGCGATCGTGGTTGTTGACAGGAAAAGACGTGTTGTAGAATGATACCCGTCCTCGAGGCGCTCTGAATGCCGAAAAGCCGGCTATAGCCAAAGCCTTATACGGGAAGAAGCACAGGCGTGATTTGTCCCGAAACTTCCATATATGGCAGGGTCACCGGGTGCGACCCCGGTAAGAGCGCCTGAACTTGGCTTCCCTCCATTACATTCCCGCCAACATACGCCCAAAGGGGTACCAGCCTGTACTCCGAGGGACCAGGTAAAAAAAGGTTGTATCCGATTTTCAATGATCCGTTGGGGATTGGGATAGAGATAGTTACAAGATAGGTCAAGTAAGTCTTACAGGAAGTCGTACTGGAACCTCGCATGTTGAAACGCTTCCTGTAAGCAGTTCATCATCTAGCCCGCGGTCGAGGAGCACCCCTAAGTGACATTAATGGAGCGGCTAAGGCACAAGGTCCTGTCTAGCTATCCAGATGCGTTTTACGCGGTGACTATACGTTGAACCTCGGCTCAATGAACGTCGCGGAAATATCTTTTCTACCTGGGACCCTCCCATCGTCAATCTGAATGATAATAATGATATACACTGCTATAGACTTGGCTACCCCCGCCCCACGACTTTATAATGTTTAGACTTTCGTTCGTGCGCTTCCAACGCCAAGATTCAAGACAAGAAATTCCCCACTGACCCCATAGCATTGTGATGAAGATTCAAGTCAGCCACACCCGTTTTTCAATCACCAATCCCATCCGGGGATTTTAGAGCTCCCGCAAAGTTGGACACTCACTAATTGATTGATCGAGATCTTGAGCCACCTTCCTCCATTCATAAACAGGATACATCTGCACTCGGATCTCTGGTACTGAAAAGCACGTTCCTTGGTGTGTCCTTAGCCTAGGTCATCTTTCTCCGTTCGAAGCGTGCGCTGATTCGCATTCCGAGGGAACCAAGGCCGGGCCAACGCTTCAGACCTTCAGGGGTCGATCAATCTTTTAGCACCATCACCAATCGTCAGTTGGTAGTTGGCAATTGAACCTGTTCCTCACGTATACGATATGGTCCTGCGGCGGGGACAACCTACAAGCACCTACCCACTCAGAGTCAGAACTCGGCCATCCCCGAGTAAAGGCAACTGACTTTGACACGACTGCCGATTGCCGTTTCCCGAAACATTGTCATCGTCGACGTCAAAATTTTGAGGTTGGGTTGGGAAGACACCGCCTGGGGTGGTTTAGAGGAGATTTCCCCATAAAATAGGTAAGTGCTCTTTCGAAGCTCACTCCCCATAGGTTCAAAAAAAACAACGTAGAGCTGCTAGTTCCGTTACAGGGAATCGAACCCTGGGCTATCGCGATACAAGATTGAGGTCGTCAATCGTGAGAGGCGATAATGTTAGCCACTACACCATAACGGATCATTGTACTCTTTACAAGAACAGGGTATGTATAGCGATGGGTCGGAGCGACTTGGGGTTTTGAGATGAGAGATGAATATCAATATCGTTGTACGAATAGGCGTAGTTGGAGCTCCGGGTACAGGCTGCAGAAATAACCTTTCTTTCAGTAGGGCCACAGGCACCAGGGGTGTACGGACGGTCCGCAAACCCGGGTCCACATGGACTGTGATTTGTCATCCACAGTCATTTCCAAAATTCCAACCACTGCAGCCTTTTTGCTCATCGTCCGCGACGACAACGAGGAAGAGCACCCAAGATTGGATGCAAATCTGCCATTCAAACTAGTATGCTTGTTACTCTACGCTCCTATGGCTCTCAAATATGGACCATGTCCTTGTCTTCTAAAATCTCTGCATGAGAATCGAGATTGACGACAATCGGACATTTTTATACGCCTGTTCTGGCTGGGATTTGTGGTCATTGGGACTTGAAGATTGTTTATTGGTGCGTAAAAACGTCTGAATATCTCTAGTAATACGAGCTCTCATGGAGTTTACAGGTTTTCTCTACCTCTATACTCGAAAAGAATTCAATGATCCTTGTGCTTGTGGAAACAGCCTACCATGTGTATAAACATGTACTGGCGCGTTTTCTCTCTCGGTAGCCAGCATTCATGAAACCAACAAACCAGCCTCCAGAATGATACTATCAGGGCTCTCTGTATTCCTCATTGACCGGGATCATGAGTACTTCTCCCCGACTGCATTTTCCCCTGAGGCTGGTGTAGATGGATCACGGTTGTCATCACCGCCCATCGAAAACCGCAGCATTCATGCTCATATTTCTCACCACCAATCACATACCTCTACGGGCTGGTTCGGACGCTCATGGGTATGCTGACCCACTGTCAACGCTGGCATAATCAGTAACGCCCACACGATCATTCACTTAGACACTGTCGCGAAGACCACCGTTTCATACGCTTGATCAGCTGCTGGGAGTCCGAGCGCTCGGAGTCTCAAAGTCCTTGCCGATGATGAGTGGCTTATGTGCAGTTACGGGTAGAAGCCCGCTGATTCAAACTCTGAACGCTCGACAGGCAAAACGGCTGGAAGCCGAAACCTGACACTTATTCCAATTGCCTACGGCTAAATCATGACTTTTCTGATACCCTTAGCGCTGGCGGCTGCAGGAAACTCTCAGAAAGGAGTCCATAGGAGTGGTTTGAAAGGCGAATGGCGAGTCGTGAGTGATAACCGCATAAAACTCTCAATATCTGTAAGCCATAGCTGATCCACATTGCTGTTGTAGAACATTTGCAAGGAGCACATGGAATCCATCGAGTCGTACTCGCCACAGGGGCCGCGATGGAGAGGTTGGAAATTCGATATCACCGTTGCGTGCAGAGGCGACCAGGATCTTTGCAAAGTTGTAGAATGCTCGTGTTGGAATAGCAGCGGGGGGTCAGATCCTTTCGGACCCCATCGCCAGATTATCGCGGCACCTGTGCCCGTGCAACTTACTCGACGTCTCTTGCTCCCACGAAGAGTAGCACAACCCTCGGGAAGCGCCAGGCTCTCAATCAGACGATCTTCATTCGCCCTGCCGAACTGGCGGTTAATGTGAATTTCACAGGAAGATTTACTTTTCGAGGGAGGAAGCGTTGCAGGAGATTGAGCAGAGTTTGTACACAATCCCGGAAAAGGCGATTTGGGATGGGGCCGGGAGTGCTTTGGATAGTTTTAGAGGATCACTGGCGCTAGTGTCAACCGCGCTGATGCGAATCTAGAGATTACGGTCAAGCTATTAGGGCCGCTGTGTCAACCGATCAGTGGGGTTCGGAGTCGCGATGGAGACGTCGGACATTCAGAATCCAGCGCTTATACCCTCACGTGTGGAGGCAGCAAGAATTTTGAAGGATATGAAGGGTCAAAGCGGAGGCGGAGGCACTTTTGGCGTCTCCTAGAGGGGTTGAAGGAGGCTGGGTCTAACTTGTACACGGTGGGGTCGCAGACGAGTTTATCGTCGGTACTACTTGCTGCAGGAGAAGAGTTTGTGTATGACGAAGGAAGTCACAAGTGAGAGGGTCTGATATCCGAGCGGCTTTCGACAGCGGTGCAGATCCCACGGTCAGCCTCCGTCCCCTCATATCTTCCTTGGGACAGTCTCAAGTGATCTAATAGTAGGTTTAAAAGGAGTTCTCAGAAAATGAATTTAGGTATCAGGTTGGCAAAAGTCCAGTTCAGGGACATATCAAGGAGTAAGTTTGCTATGGCGGCACACATTTGGAATGTCAACATGCAATATTCAATATGGGTCAATTGGTTTACTGATCGGTAACTCAAAGTATCAAGCCATAACCACAATTTTCCATCTAAGACATTGTATAGCAATACCACCCAGTCAACATTTGAGAAAGGCTAAGTCTCCATCTTCGGTTCAAGTTTGTCTTCAGCGTCACCGCCCGACCTTGCATCCACCGTTGTGATGTGCGCAATACGGCGGTCGTCGTGCGTCGCCATCTCCAGGCCATTTGATAATGTCCCATTTGAATCCCATATAGAGTATCGAAGATTTACGAGTACCACTAGCAATGTTGGGTACATTCCCTATAGTAGATACCTTAGTCACGAGGACCTAACGGAATGGCAGGAATGAGACTAACCACTAGCTGAGGAATAGCGGCGGCAAAAATGCTTTCAACGATTTGACCCGACAGTGATTTTGGAGATGGTGTCACGGGTGAAATCAGGACCAGTTGAGCGATCTGGTCAGGATAGCGCGTGGAGTCAAAGGATAGCCTTCATATCAGTACGTCGCCGGAATCTCGGAAGAAAGTCGGATTACCCATAGGATAGAATAGGCGATGCCGGACTTGATGAGTAGAATGAGAATTTTCCCTGCTTGGGTCCTAAGTAACGGCCATTGGTTGAGAAGCAGCCCGACCTCCAGGCGGCTCAGCCTAGCAGAGCGAACCGACGCGGTTCTCAGGTAAACGTATGAAGTGATGAAGGTAGCTAATACATACCACACTGTGTAACCAATGGCTAGAGTGCCAGAGACGTTCGTGACAAACGAAAGACTGTACGCCGAGATTTGGAGCGCGTCGCAGGTAGGGTGTGTGGTGGCCGTGGACCAGTCAATGTGCACAGTGCAGCCCATGTATCCTACAGAGCAAACTATAGGGTGTTTACACCGTGAGTTTTTGAGAAGAACCAATGATATTCCTTACTCATAGTACCAAGTAAGAATACCATCGAGATGTAAACCGGCTTTCTGTTGAAAACGCAGAGCGCCCAGGCCCTCCACAGGACAATCGAATCTCCGACAATGATCTATGAGATGCTTGTTATGCAGTAATCAGTAAATGCATTGTCTCGGAGACTCACCTGGAGTGACAACATCATCTGATCCACTGAAGCAAAACGGTGAAGGCTCCCACGATAATGCGCTTGCTTCTCGGTGGGATCCTTTTCAGGGTCGTTGACCAAGACATCCAGGACGCCTTGAAGGAGAAGATACACATTGGCCCAAAATTTGAACGAGGATATCAAAAACATGATCAATAGGGCCACCAGTAAAGCCATCTTTGCGCCCCGTTTACCCTCTCGACGGCTTTGAGTAGGGAATAAGAATGGATTCGAGGATTCAAACGAGTCAAGACGATCCAGTTGCACATGGAATTGTGGCATACCAAAGGATAACGATGGCAGATGGAAGCAGTAACAGGTAGGCCCCTGGGTGGGATTGATTTGAGTACGCGCCCGTCGCCCGGAGTTTTTTGAGAGGATGGAGACGCGTACCGTAAAAAATAGCACCAGTCAAGAGCCCAACCATATCAATAACACAATTCCTGGCGAACAGCGCCACAAACTGCATTGACCGAAGCGGGTCTGTCCCGTTCATTGCTCGCGTCCGATATCGTCTAATATGCAGATAGGACAGAAGTAAAAGGACAGAAGCAGGGGTACTCAGGGTGTCAACTTTTGAACCGTCCGCTATTTGAAGTAATGAACTGTGCATGTACATGATGTCCGGACTATGGAAGCCACGTCATGATATGATGGAGCATCAAAGATACATAGATGGGACGGATGCTGTATATAGATGTACATGGCCCCACTGAACAACTACAGATTCAATCGAGATTACCGCGTCGTATCTTGAGACCTGTATGCATATATCTTCCGATGCCGTTTGCACGAATAGTGTACACTGAGCGCACTCAACGGCGTGGATCCATTCCATACCAGGCGTGGACTGAATGAAATACGCTGAAACCCAAGAATAGACGAAAACCAAGTCATCTGTGATCATCACATATTTCAGAACAAGCTATGGTACATACAAAACAATGGAGGATGCCCACTTAAGGACCATCCTAGCATCGTTTGTACACAGTGTGCTCGTCATATATGACGCGACCCCCGCGTATCGTGCCCCTCGCATCATTCCAGAGGACATGGTAGACCAGGCAGGCAATACATTCATTATCCCTGAGGAGGATGATCAGGTAGAAAATCTCTATGCATGAACGGTACGAGAATCAACCCTGTAACAGAAGAGCAAGAATTGATGGAAGCGTGCAGATAGGAAGGGGCTACAAGACTCGATCCGTGTGCTTACGACCATACCATGAGTTGTTGCCCGTAAAACGGCTTCTTCGTACTGGTGTCGTTCTGCACACGCTGTTGTACATTCAGTAGGCACGTAGTAGAAAATGTACAACAGGTCCCAGTATCCTGCGGGGTCCAAACATGGGATGTATCTCCTAATAATAATAATACAGTTGGTAACGACCATTTGGTATGCGATCATCATTTGGGATATTTCAACCCGACGGCACAATATCCCAGTCTTTTCACTTGGACTTGTTTAAACTTACTCTTGACTTATATATGCATGTACTGGACCAATTTGACGATGTGCGAGACCCTACTCATGGATATATGCAAAGAATGGCGGCTTGGGACATGAACCAGATACTGATACGCTAACAAGAGGCAAAGACATGACATAAATGTGTCAAGTCAGAGCAAATAATCGTCGAAGTCAAGAACCAACAGTAGGGTTTGGAGAAGCATCGATATAATGGGAAAATTGGGAACCACGATTTTATGTATGCTTTGAGTGCTACTAGACCAGATCGAGCTTCAAGCATCGAGTACCAAAAATCGGTCTGATTACCGAGCAATGCTGACGAGTACGCGATCTCTTGATTCTCTAGGACTCAGAGTTGAAAAAACTCTCGGATTTGGAGTTCATTCCGTTACAGGGAATCGAACCCTGGGCTATCGCGCATGCCATGCGAATGAGGTGTATATACATGGAGGTGTATATACATGAGAGGCGATAATGTTAGCCACTACACCATAACGGAGTTCTCGGTAACCGATTGGTGGTCAACATATCTAGTCAGCCCGTTCAACTAAAGCCAGCGCCGACCATCTGCTTCTGTACGTCTCTCAAGTTCAAACGATGGGATTTTCGGAATCTGAGGAATCAGGACGCGCTTTTCTCCCGACCGAACTTAACCTATCCAGGGGTGGGGCTCTGGTAGTGAGCGGTCCGCGACACCCGGGGTCCATGAGGACTATGATTTGTCAGCACACAGTCATTGTCATCATCGACCCCAACCACCAACACGGCTTGCTCATCGTCCGCGACGACGACAACGACGAGCACCCAATATTGGGATCCGGATCTGGCGTTTAAGCTGGTGCGTATTCTTGTGCTCATCTGACTGTTGAGTATTGAACAAATTCATTGTCGTCTTCTAGATCCCTGTACACGATATTGACGACCTTTTGGTCTCTTTGCGAGGACCTTGTTAATACGACAAATTTCTGTGGGTTTTGGACCTTGAAGGTCGCTAATTGGTGCGCTCCTGATTCCTCTGTCCGTTCTTATAATACGAGTTCTGAAGATTTTATTTGGATCCGCAAGAGTTTCCCTCCATCTTTCTGTTTTGGAACTTCATGATCCTTGTGGAAAAACGTGTATAAAACGTGTACTTCCACTGGTGCGTTTTCCTTCCATGATCAACACGACTGCAGAAAATTCAACCACTTTGCACAGTACTACCACCAACACCAGAATGACATCAATGAACTCTATACCACCTCTCATTCCCGTCCCAAAGTCGCAGGAGAAGAACCTCGACGAAGAGATGATTGACAAATTCGCTACTCTCTTCTCACCGCCAACTCCTCGTGCTTCGCCTACTCGCGAGATTAATGACGGAGACAGTATATGGAAGACACCAGCACCGTCGCGCCCTCCTGCACAGCAGCATTGGGAACCTAGCACTCCCGACTCGGAATTTGGAGCGTTCGTATCTGTACCTGCTTCGGAAGATCCGTTGGCAGATGCAGATGCGGATTTCTCGTTCGGAGAAAGTCAAAGCCAAGGAGGAGGACAAGGACAAGGCCATGCAAAAAGCTCGAGCTTGTCCTTCTTTGATCAGTTCGCGAAGGAGGCTAAGGACGCATCGGAGAGGAACAGGAAGGAGGTCCTGGACGAGCTGCTTGATCCGTTAGGCTCGAGCTGGGGTGCTACTGGGTCTAGTCAACCGCAGCAGCCAGCCGGCAATCACGAACACGAACATGAACACGACCCAGATAGCTGGGGTCCACCAGAACTCTCCGAATCCCTGATCGATCTCGACCACGAGTTTTTCTCTCCGTCTTCCCCTGGCACCAGTGATCGTCACCACCGCCGATCGAGAACCGTCGAATCCCACACTCATCCTTCTCGTCAACAAACTTCGTCATCTGTAGGCTCACTGGGACGTTCACCATCGCGCTCACCTACCCTGCCGACGTTAGCACCACCCGTTACGTCTGGAGCAGATGCCCAAGCGCAAGTACAGGACAGCGCGAGACCGGGCCTGTCAACACGATCGACCTCCTATCAGACGTTGTCGAGTATATCGGCAAAATGGATGTCGGGGTTGCTTTCTTCCGCTGCTGCTGCTTCTTCCTCTACCTCTACCTCGACTTCAACATCTCCTCCACCGACGGGGAGAGGGAGTATCGATTCGTTGTTTTTCCCTCCACGAACGAACGTTCGTAATAACGGGTCTTCCACCACAACGACGACGAATAACACCACAATGGGAGCAGCTGGCGCTGCTCATACCCACTCACACTCACCATTCGCACCGCATGTGTTCTTACCGGGGAGTATCAGCGGTGCACCTGGTTTCGCGGGGGAGCGGTATGATTGGGATCGGAAAGGGTACTCGAACGAGTTGAGCGATGAGTTGGAGGCTGAGCGGAGTAGGGGGGATACTCCCAATGACATGTCGACGTCGTCGAGTTCGAGTCAGAGTTTGGGTAAAGGGGCACCTTCACATTCCCATTCGCCTTCGCCCCGGCCGCAACTTCAACCGACAGCGACAATGGGGGGTTTGATAGAGAAGAGGAGTGGACATCTTGAGTTGAAGGGGAGGAGGGAAAGTACGGAGGGGGTATTGGATGCGGGGTTGGCTGATAAGGCCGGTTCTCTTTCTTTTTTTTTTTGTATTCTCCTTATTGACTTCCTTCTCCCTGATAGATCCGTCCTCACCTCCCAGCTCTCTCTCGCCTCCCTAAACGCTGGAATCTCCTGTACTCTCTCGACCAGCATGGGATATCGCTGAACACACTATACACCAAGACCGAGGCCGCTCCCTCTGTCAACGTCAGCGTCGGTGGGAGTGGAATCGCGACCAAAGTCGGGGCGTTGGTCGTCGTGAAGGATTCGGGCGACGTCGTCTTTGGCGTCTTCGTTGGGGACGGTTTGCATAGGGGAAAAGGGTATTATGGGAGTGGAGAGTCGTGAGTGCACTTCTTTTTTCCTTCTCCCCCTGAGCGGATGTTGATTGGCTTGTTAGGTTCCTGTGGAAATACGTTCAATCGAGGGACGAATTGGAAGTGTTCAGGTGGACGGGGAAGAATGGGTATGTTGCGTTGTGTGAGGCGGATTTTTTGAGTTTTGGTGGTGGGTGAGTCAGGTTTTCGTCTCTATCTGTTCGTTTTCGCTCCCTCGCGTACCACTTGGACATCTTTTGTGCTCTCCTCTCCTCTCCATACTGTGATTCATTCTCAAGTCTACCCTTTTCGTCTCCTCTCCCCTTCTCCTCCTTCTCCCCATTTGCACTTCCGTTTCCTTCTCTGTCTATCATTACATCCCGTACCCCGGAAATTCCACTGTTGTGCCTACCCTTTTCGTCTCCTCCCCCTTACCCCATTCTCCATCTCTCTCCTCCGCTTCTCGACACTCAATTGACCACTTTTCGTAGCGACGGAACCTACGGCCTTTACATCGACTCTACCCTCCTCGAAGGCTCTTCAGCGCCCTGTCCGACATTCGGGAACCCACCGTTGTGTGCAGTTGATGCACCCGGCTCGAGGAAAGGGAGGACGGTGACGTTTGAGTGTGTTGGATTGGAAGTGTGGGGTGTTGGACCTTGAGATGTATATGGGCTGCGTTTCGGTGGGGACGTGGAGAGGGGGTTTTGTGGGTTTTGAGGACTGGAATGGTCCTAAACGAGGATGGTTACGGGGTGCTTTGGTATGCGGCACATGATGGATGTCGAAGCTCTGGTACGTACGTTTTCCGTTCTCGGACTCAACAAATCCAACTAGTTCTCTTTACTTTTCCAGGGCGGTGGTCATACTTAATCTGGAGAGGCTTTGCGGCATGTGCAGCTCGGAGGGTTTATCAGAGACGATTGCTACAAGTTATCGCTATCTTTATGTTTTGTCGTTGTCGTCGTCGTTGCTGTTTGTACGAATGTATAATGTGCATTCTGAAAGGAAACTTTCATTTTATGGATACATATGTATTCCGCTGTACGTTTGACAACTCCGTTATGGTGTAGTGGCTAACATTATCGCCTCTCATTCATGTCTCTGCTCAGCAATGAAAACGCGATAGCCCAGGGTTCGATTCCCTGTAACGGAATGTAGAAGTAGTGGCTCTCATTTTTTCTCGGCGAGGCCTCCATATTATTATTCATTCTTTTTGGATTGGGCGTGGTACTAGAATCAAACTTCACTAGACCTAGGCATTCTCACCAAAAATCTCATCCAACTTCTCTCTCATGTCTTCTTCAACCGCTTTCCTTCGTATGACCCCCTTTGTTGCTGTTCTGCTCAATGATCTAGCAGGAACCACGATTATGGAATCTGGCGAAGCAATCTTCTCGTGTGGAAACCATTGAGTGGCTGGGGATGTTTGGATCCGATGGAATATATCTTTCTTGAGCTCGGCTTCGAGCTCACTGGTTGAAGCTTGGAGGTCGAATTCGACGACTAAGACCGGAGAAGGTCGACCGCTGCCTATTATGATGCAGTCTTTGAATCCTGAGAGGGATTGACAGGCAGCTCGAGCGTCTTTCTCGATGGATCTGTAAAAGGACAGTCAAACCCGACTCTCTCGAGCGTACCATGGTACCAGATATACCTACCCAGCGTCACATTTATCCCCGCTCTCCATTTTAATCCAGTCGTCCTTCCTTCCTCGATGGATGTAGTAGCTCTCAAAGGGATCGCTGACGCTGGTATGTTCAGAGAATATATCTCCTGTATGGAAGTTCCCTTCCGAGTCCAGGAATGCACCGTCAGGGATGTCGGACGAGATGGAGAGGATTACGAGTTCCACGAGGTTCTTCTCTGAGTCGTCAGAAGTAAAGCCAGAAACTGGGTCGAAGCGGTAGTGAATTGGAGCCTCATTGGACTCGTCGGAAAGCTGTAGATGCACCGGATGAAGTCGCTCCGGGTGGTTACTGTCGCCAGAGATGAGAGTGGGTATTCCACATTCCGTGCATCCGTGTAAGTTCTACACATCAAGGTCCATACGCTGGATCTGAGGGCAAGGGGTTCAGGGACTCACCAACAACATCAAACCCACCTCTCTAGCCTTGTCATACTGCCCCTTTGTCATGTTCGTCCCACCAAACGCAATCGGGTTCAGCCCCCTCAACATTTCTATGCCTTCCCCGTCGTGCTCGAGTTCAAGTTCACGAATCAGCCGGAAAAGCATACTCGGAATCATCGTGGCTCGTGTGAGTCGTCCAAACGTGACCATAGCTTTGAATTCCGCCACCGAGGTACCTTTTGACTCGGTATACGTCGTACCGGTCCTGCTAGGGGCAGGGACAATCATGCTGGATCCGTGATATATCGTTCCTAAGATGACTAGGGCCGAGGAAGTGAGTCATATCTAGGGGCATGTACGAAACAATATTCACATGTAAAGTTTCCGATGTGACACACGCTTTCCCTGAAACACAAACGAAACACTAGGTTACGGGAAAGGAGAGAAGGGATGATAAGATGAATATACTCACACCCAAGAAGCCACGTCTTGATTGTTCCCCTGGGGAGCACAAGCCACCGCAGCCTTTGTGATGAGGACGTCTATCAGTCTAGCACTGTACCGAACGGCTTTGGGTAGCCCTGATGTTGAACCAGAGGTATGAAATATGATTTGAGTTGACGTGGGATCTTCTGAGTCTGTGTTCGGGATGTGAGGCATGGAGCCGTAATCCTGGACTTGGGCAATCGTAGCTGGAGTTGGGATGATCTTCAACGTCGGGTTCATTGATTTCTACCCCCCGCCATCCCCGGTGAGTCCAAGGCGTCTGTGTGAGTGAAAAGACATTGCTCACCAATCCCGCCACCCGGTCATACACGCCCCGTTGGTACACCAATGCCCTCGCCCCCGATGCGTTCAAAAGATGATTGAGCGCTTCGAGGGCATCGGGAAAGAGGCTGAACGTTTGTGGTACGTATCCAGCCCTCATGAGCGCGTAAATATGTACGACATCGGTGTAGCGATTGCCTTCGAGGCTGCAGGTGAGCGCTAATCAGTATATACTAGCATCTAGAGCCTTCAAGGAGACTAACCAAACACCTATAACCTCTTTACACCCGCCGTTCAGCCCTTCACCCGTAAGCCTATCATACCAATATTGAGCTGTAGCTTCGACGTCGTTGAAAAGTTGTGTGTAGGTAACGTTCGAATACCCCGTAATCTTCTGTCCTCGTTCGTGTCCTGGGGTCGAGTGGACAACGGGGACTTTGAAAGCTGTCTCGGAGGGCCAAAGAGTCGCTGCTCGTTTGAGATTCGTAAGGGGAGTTTTTAGAACAGAATTTGAGTGCTGAATGGTAGACATTGGGGTTCAGGTCTTGGGGGCTCTGTTCTGTTTCTCTCGTCCGTCAGAAAGCCCTGGAGGGTATCGGGTAATGGGGAAGATTGGAATGCATTAATCGAGCGATAATACTTGGCTATCTACGACACCAAATAGGGTCCACTATACATTCTAGTGCACGGTAAAGGTGGGTGTTGCCGGGGCGATGAGTACTAACTGCATACGAGAACCATGACTGCAGTCTATGGTGCGGATTAATGGATAAAGCGACCTCGTTCGTAAGGTACCCGCTATGGTACCGGTTGCACAGCAGCTGTTCAAGATAAGCCTATCCACTCAAACCCCCGTACACCACCTTCCCATCTATGATTGTCGCCAAAACTTTGGTGTCCATAATCCGATTAACGGGCGCTTTCATGATATCTTGAGATAGTACGGTTAAATCTGCGTACTTCCCCGGTTCTATAGAACCTAGAATATCCTCTGTGAATGAGGCGTATGCCGGGTCAATTGTTAATCCTGTAGTCAGATGGTCAGCATAAGCTCAGTCACTTGGAGAAAACCCTCCGCTGGGACCGTGGCAGCAATAGAAAAAGCATGCATAGACAGTGACGCTGGGCAAGGGCCAAGGATAACTCAGCTATGGAGACTTACCTCTCAGCGTCTCTTCTCGGGTTAAGCATTGTTCAGGAAACCTATGAGTCATAGCGGTAGGGGTCAGACAGCAATTCTCGAGGAACCGGTACTGGTCAACGCACCATCCGTCTTCACCGTGAGGAGACGTCCCATCCGGAGTGGTTCTAGTTACAGCAGCATAAAACGTCTTGAAGGGATTCATGTCCTCGACTGGGAAGTCCGTTCCAAGCGTAATCCGAGACCCCCCATCTAGGATAGAGCGGAATGCATAGAGCTGTTTGACTCGGATCGGACCCTAAGGTGAGCGTTACGCGGTTAGAGAGGGATAAAGGTCGGTATGGAACGGAGATGAAGGTCAAATGGGCGATTGAATATGGCCACCGGGAAGGGGGACGGAAGGAGCATGCTGATATGGACTTACCAAGCGGTCCTCAGCATAAGACATGTCGCTAATTCTAAGAAAATAACACGGAACATATCAATAATGATTCTGGAGAGGATAGATTGGCGCTCTCGAGATGACAGTGGCGCCCCAGAAAAGAACTGAGCTAGTCAATCGAAGAGAGTTTACTCACGCATGGGTAGGTTGAACGCTGGCGATGACTGAGGGCCCAATCAAACGGTGAGTATTGATGAGAGAAGAACTGAGAGCAGCGGAGCCGAGATTGTACTCACCACCTAAGCTTCCTAAGCGCTTCATATCCTCTGCGGTCATGATCTGTGCATGTTCCAATCTAGGTCTCAGTGCAGTAACATTGGCACCTGCTAGAGCCGACTCAAATGCATCAAGAACGAGGCCATTCGCACGATCGCCGATTGCATGAACGTTCTCAATAGCATTGGGCGTCAGCCCGATTGATAGATAGAGATTGAAATGCGGGTATCACTCACGACTTGCCATCCATCCTTGAGAAATCTTGGAATATCGTCCCTGAGAACCCTCTCCGAGAGTCTCATGAAACCGGCCGTACCAGGGTTATCATGATAATGATGGTGTAACTGCAAGCAAGTTAAAAAGAGATCAAATTTCGGCCAACTTCACTTCACAGTTTGACTCACCGCAGCTCCCCCAGTTCTCAAGGCACCTGTCAAGCAAAGTTTGAGTCAGCGAGCTCTTATTACCGGGAAGTTGCACACGAGACAATGCACCATCAGCAAAGACTTTGACACTCCGAGCGCTTAGCCTTCCGTTAGCCGCTCTCTCATACGGGACGATGGTATTTCCCCAGTAGGATTCGTGTTCGTCAAAGTGCCTCATGGCGTAGACGCGTATCTAGAAGATAAAGGGCGCGGGCGTTTAGTCGAGTTCGATAATCCCAACCAGCCAGTACTCACGGGCAATTCCTTCAGGCGCTCAGCTTCCCTGCAGATTGATACGCAGGTCCCAGGGTCCCATCGAAGGTCAGATGCATTAAAGTACATCTAAGATACGCCGAAGAGACAACACGCACCGTTCAAAGAAGTCTAGAGAAGCCGGATCTAACCCAGCGTCATGAATGGACGTCAAACCATACGACAGGGCGTCTTGAACAGTCGCTCTAAATCGAGCCCGCAATTCTTCTTCCGTAACCGGGGGGAGACGTAGGAGCTCTTGGGCGTTGTCTAGTAGAACACCTACTTTTACCGCAATCGATAGGAACGGAGAATTGAGAGACGGCGTCCCGAAATTGACTGATGAGCCAGGAACAAGTTCGTGATAGTGAGATTCCTTACCGGTGGGTGTTTGGTTTGGGGCTCTGATGACTATCCCACCTTCGACTTTGTCAGGAAGCTCGCTACACGTGTCCATTGCCGCTGAAGAAAGCCACAAAGCATGACAATCCTTGCTCTGTAGTACGACCTTCCTTCCATGGATTATTGGATCAGAATCGAGGTCCGCCTTTCGCAGTCAGGAGAATCAGAAAAAGATGGAACCACAGCAATAAGCGAATCATTTGGCAGCCTACCGCAGTCGGGAACGAGGCGTTGGGCCACACAGTGTGATCCCAGCCTCCTCCAAATACCACTCGACTCTTGTCATTGAGGAGCGCTTTGTCGGAGAGAATAAAGTCGCGGACGCGTACCACCGTTTCTACAATGGCGGTAAGATCGCGCTTTGTTGTGAACAGTCCTTATCCTCACCTTCGATAGTCTTGGTACCTTCCAAAGCGAGTTGAGCGTTCTTCCCATACTC